TAAAAGAAATAGAATTTAATTTATGAGTTAACGAATCTTGTTTTAATTGAATATAATTTTCAGGAGAAGATAATTGAATAAAAAGAATTCCACCAATTGACTGTTTTATATAATAAGAAATAATAATTGATGGATTATATTTTTTTAATTCTTTAAGAACTGAATGAATTGTATTATTAAATGAAGCAGCAAAAACAGAAGAAGAATTTATATGAATTTGTTTTTGATAGAATGAAAGATAACAGTTTTGTAATTGTATTAATTGACTATCAAATCTTCTAGTTAAATTCAAGAAAGGAAGGAAAGGAGATAATATAGATAAATGAGAATTAAAAAGAAAAGAATTATTTGATTTAAAGAAAGAAGGATTAATAGCAATTAATTGAGAATAGTCAAAAGAAATATAAAAATGAAGAAAATGGATGAAAAGATTTTTTAAAGAAATAGAGTCCCAAATGAATCTATACTTAGAAAAGCAATAATAACAATCATACCATATTACATTTTGCTTATCACATAAAGATGAGTATTTATGAATTATATGTTGTTTTGTACATTGTTTATTTATATCATTTTCATTTTGTAATTCAGGTAAATAATCATTTTGAATAAGAAAATTAATAACTAATAATATAATTGTAAAACTATTAAACATTCCATTTTTTGGATTAATTAATTTATTTTCTTTATGAAATTGTTTAATATAATAAATGAAACTTCTAATTTTTGGATGTATTGAATAATATGTTTTAATTAATTCACTATTATACCAACCTTCATAATTATTAATTGAAATATCAATTTCATAACCTTTTATTTTACAATTAATAATAGGAACTAATGCTTTGTCTATTATTTGAATATCAGTAATAATTTTATTTAAATCATTTGAAGTATTATTTAATATTTTAAATATTTGATAAATAATTGAAATATTATTATTTTTATTTATATTATAATATTGTTTAATTATTTCATCATTATTATCATTTTGACTGTATTTAAATAAATTAGGTTTGTCTTTTGTTAATATTGTTACATCAATATCTGATTTCCCATCAAAAAAATCAAAATACGATGATCCGTATGGAACAATTTCTCCTTCTACTTTAATTATTTTATTTAGTTCTTTAATAATTCCTTCAATAGGTATTCTTTTCATATTATTTTTTAAATAATTACTTTCAATACTTTCTTTTTCTGTTTTAATTAATTTTTTGTGTTCTTGAAAAGACTCGTTTGAATTTATTTCAATAAGTCGTTGAAAATATTCATGAAATTGTTCTTCTTCTCCCATGTTCATATTTTATTGTTGGTTTTGCTGTTTTTTTTTCTTTTTTTTCCTTTTTTTATTTTTATTTGTTTTATGTTATATATATTATTTCAATAAATATTTTTTATTTGAGTTTTATTCTTACAAAGTGGTATTTTGTCATCAAAACAACTTTTAAACAAATTCTCGTCAAGTTTTTTTAATCACACAGAACAGAAAACAATGAATATATTAATTATTTTGAATAAAAATATATTTGAAAGGAGATTAAAAAGTTTTTTTAGAAAAGAATGATTTAAAAAAAATAATATGAACTAAAAATAATTACAATGGAAGAACCTAAAAGAGAGTTTCACTTTATCACACAGAAACGAACAATATTAACACTTCCACAACGAGACTTTTCAAGTCAATTTGTAAATGCAAGGAATGGATATAGAACAGTTGAACATCAACGAACAGAAAAGATAAGTGGAATAATTAACCAAATAATTACAACAAAACAAATACCACAAAAAACTGAATGGAGTTTTTCAGTTCAAACATGTGGTAATTGTGGAGGAACAGTTATTGGGGGAATAACATGTTGTGCATGTGGAATATATATTTGTTCAAATTGTAGACAAACATATACTATTGATAATGGGAATTATGATATCACATTATGTATGTTATGTTCAGAATGTTTTGAACGAATGCAACAAACGAATTGGTTTGAACAAAAAATTAAAGAAGGAGAAGAAAAAGAAGTAGTTTTAATACATTTAAAAGTAACAAAAACATTATTATTATTTGATGAAACATTTAGAACAATGAAAGCATTTGAAGGAGTAGAAGGATTAAATGATGAAAATTTTTTAAAAGAATGTAAAGAAAGATTAAGAGAATTTCAAATTG